GCTATAAATTTACACCTTCCCCTACTGCATGCTGACTTCTCCTGCAAATAAAACTCCCAGACACACTGAACTCCACACATTGTACTAAGGTACCTAGCAATACAAAGGATGATTTAACTGTTACTATGGTATATTCTGTTTGCCAGGCACTAGTTTGGCAAACAAACTTTGCTCTTGAAAGAATGGCAGCTTTCACAGATTTTTTAATGAAAATGTAAGAGAAGTGAGTAGTCTACTCTTCTGATTTATACAAAGAGACAATACTTAGAATAACAACGAACTCTGGGATCTCATAGAACCCCTTTCAAATCTTTTAATTCTTTTAATTGTACTTCCATATGTTTGCAACAGCTTAGAAAAAGAAGTCTGGGTTTGTTGGAAGAATCCCAAATCAGATACTGCACCATGCAAACCTGACAATAATTCTGCCTTTCAATTTTAAACCTTTAAATTTATAAATGCATAAGCAAATATAAGCTTGGCTTACACAACCTTGCAAGATCTTTGAGCCCACTTCTGGATTTCAGACAACTCTCCCCAAAAAGGAGCAATCTATGGAATAAATCAATGCTATACACATTGGCATTCAACTGGTTTTATGTGCAACAGCCAAAATTTCCTTAAAATGGCTTCCTAATGTAAGGCATGCAAGCCTATTTATATGATCTATCCAGAAGTTTTCAAGAGAGGCTAATGGACCGGAGCTCCTATAAACTACAAATTATTTTTTTTTTTTTAAAAATCAGACTATTTAGTAAACACAGTATCAAAATTGGCTGAAGGTATAAACCATAATTATTCATATCACTTAACAACAGCAGCAAAACCCCAAAACCAAAACTAGCTACTTTCCCCCCTACACCCACATACTTATACCAGACTTAAGAATTTTGTTTAGGAAACATAATCAACCTTACTTTGTTACAAGCCAAATACCCTGAAGTATTTCATTTCAAGTTGATCTGAAATGGGGGCTTTTTTGTTGTTCAAGTTTTTTTCACATTGCTGAAACACCTGTCACCGTTTAAGGCTGGGCTGGCAATTAAAGTGGATGACAGTCAAGTATTGCAATAATTTTAAGTTACTTATTTTAAAATAGGTTAGGTGTGAGCCAACAGAGAGTCAACATGTTTAATTTAAAAATATAGCAAAGCAAAGTATCTCAAATTTTCCTCCATTTGGAGAAAAGTGGCTGAAACAGCAGGCCAGAATTTGACACAGATTAGCAGACAGTTCTCATTCTCTTCAAAACCAGATTTTTCAGCTGTT